GAATATATTTTTTTTCTTTTGGGATTAGTTAACATAAAATACTAAACATATATAAATTCCTAATGAGATTTTATTAATAGTAAAGAATAAGTACTTTTTTTTTTATTATCATAATTTAGAACTATTTGGCATGACTATTCATTTATGATAGCTTGGCAAGAAAAAAATTGTACTCTTATAGAAACATTTCACATGTAATTTGACTAATATCCTTACAATTATATAAGACTTGCTAAAATACTTGATAGCTTTCTCGATTCTTGCTACCCTTGAAAGTCTATGATTACAAAAATCTAGTTGATCACTTCTGAAAAATACAAGCTTATGAATTCGCCTAGAGCTTCAAATTCTTTGTTGAAGATGCTTCAATACCGTTGAAATTCTTAAATTATTAAAAGAAAAAAGAGGAAACTTAATGAAATACCGTGACATAGTCTTCCTGCGTTTGTCCTATTAGGAAAAAAAAAGTGAATAGTTGCATTCCAAACAAATCATTCCAATAGCGATTTCGAAATCGTACCCATAATTTCTCCCACCGTGATAACTTTCTTACTCTATTTCTATATATGCATATAATTTTTTAATTGCAAGGCAATTAACAGGACTAACACATGTAATCGTAGTCTTTTAATACTTTATAATTTAGTTAATTGCACGAAAATTGAAGGGCTTAAATATGTAACAATAGTCTTTTAATTTGCCTTTTAACTTGAATTGCCAAATTTGCTTGGTCATTGTATTAATTGTATGGTTATTAAAGAGTAGTATGATAACGACAGGTAATAAAGAGACTCAGCTACAATTATATTATAGTTATTATTATAATGATTAATTCAATTTATTTGTTTATGTTTGATAAAAATAGTATCATCTATGAGAATGTGTATGTAATTCAATTTTTAACTTTAGGCGTCCTATTTATAATTTATAAAATATATAAGTATGATGATATAGATTATAACAATAGTAAAATAGTAATAATGTTGTATTATTATTATATGATCAACTTTTCATCTAACACCTTTCCACCTTTAGTATTTAGTATAATATAATATGATTGTGTTAACTGTTTAATATTCAGTTAATTTAGGTACGTTATAGTGTAGGAGTAAAATGGTAATTCAATTTTACCTTCTAAAGCTTCTCACTTTTAGTATAACGCGTGTTTTTAAAAAATTGTATGTATATTTTCAAAAAGGTCTTTAATTTGTATTATAAAATAAAGTTATAGGAAAAAGTCTTTGATTATAATAATAATAATAATAATAATAATAATAATAATGAATATTGACTAATTTTTGGCAAATTATCCACGGAAGAAAGAAATACTGATGCGCAAGAGTCCTTAAATGTCTATTGTACGTAATATTGATTTATGAATTATGTATTTTCCCTAGAAGCTTAAGCAAAGTAGAATATATTAATATTATGATTTGTATTCACACTACCTACAACATACTATTTTTGTCACTCTTTAATATCACAAGCCTTCGTCATTCTAAAAATGTAGAAAAATGAAACTTATAAATGAAAAAATTCACACACTTATTAAAAAGATTGCAAAATTTCATTTTTTTTAATGAGAAACAGAACTTGTAATATCAATATCATTTAAATATTGTTTTTACAATTAAAAGTCAAATAATACTAAAAGATACACTTGAAAAGTTCATAAAATTAAAAGGTAAATTAGACATAAATGTAAAAGAAGAAAAATGTTAATTGTGACTTATGTACATATTGTTCGGACCATATCATTTAAATATTGTTTTTACAATTAAAAGTCAAATAATACTAAAAGATTCACTTGAAAAGTTCAAAAAATTAAAAGGCAAATTACAAACAAATGTTAAAGAAGAAAATTGTTAATTGTGACTTTAATACATATTGTTCGGACCATAAAAGATCACAACATAATGTTAAGTAATCAGATATACTTAAAAAGGCGTTATCATTCTTTCTTTCTTTTTTTTAAACATTTTGCAGATAGATCAGATCACCCATAAAAACATTTTTATCCCCTTAAATTCCATTAATATTACTAAATTAAAAAGTTTTATCATTTTTATGATAGAAAGTATGACCTAATAAAAAGTACATAAAATAAAAATAATAAACGAATGAGCAAATACAATATTCAAATTTGGAAACTAAAATACTACAGGTTGGACTAATGTAATATGTGTAATTTTATTGGCAGTATCATATGCCTCAAAATTAATGTTATACTTGTCTTCTTAATTTCTAGTAAGAAGAATAAAGAATATGTCACGTGCATCTTCTCAGCTAACTCAACTAAAATCGGATCTTCTAAAAATATTTGATAACCTGAATGAAACTTTAGTAGGACCCATAAATATAAGAGAGCAAGCCTTGAGGGAAATGAATTTTTTCTTTTCTTTATATAGTTTTTCTCTCTTGATTGTTGTCTTTTCAGCTTCCCTTCAGGATGATTTGGAGTAATATACATTTAGCATTACAATGTAATGCATTAAATTCTACCGTTGAAGAAGTTGAAAAATTGCTAATTAAAGTATGATTAATGCATTGATTTATAAATTAAAAAAAAAAGCAGTTCATATTATTTTTGAAGGGAAATATAATTTCTTAAATTTAGAAGATTTTTTTTCTTTCATGATTTGGAACTGTCCATTTATATAATAATATAATTAAATATAATTTTAATTTGGTAATAAATTAAATAGAATAATATGATTATATAATTTTATTTTTCTAAATAAATTAAAAGGATTAATGTCTCTATTATTAAGTAAATTGTGAATTAATAATTTAAGATAAAGGAATATAGAGGGAGAAACGTTTTATAAAATAAATAAGATGAAAAATGTTTTTGGAAATAAATAAATGTTACTGAATTCCCTCGATTATCTAAATGGATTCATTGAATTTTCATAGTCTGAACATTGAAGCATTAAAGTGGTACTGCTTCATTTCTAATTCATCGGTTCACATTTAATATGATAAAATTTTAATGTAATTCAATGTTCCTTTTTGTTTAGGGGCAAAATTGAGAATTTAAAGGATATTATTACTATTCAACTGTAGTTTTAGGATATGATCTCTTTTACAATAACAATAACAATAATAATAATAATAATAATAATAATAATAATAATAATAATAATAATAATAATAATAATAATAATAATAATAATAATAATAATAATAATAATAATAATAATAATAATAATAATAATAATAATAATAATAATAATAATAATAATAATAATAATAATAATAATAATAATAATAATAATAATAATAATAATAATAATAATAATAATAATAATAATAATAATAATAATAATAATAATAATAATAATAATAATAATAATAATAATAATAATAATAATAATAATAATAATAATAATAATAATAATAATAATAATAATAATAATAATAATAATAATAATAATAATAATAATAATAATAATAATAATAATAATAATAATAATAATAATAATAATAATAATAATAATAATAATAATAATAATAATAATAATAATAATAATAATAATAATAATAATAATAATAATAATAATAATAATAATAATAATAATAATAATAATAATAATAATAATAATAATAATAATAATAATAATAATAATAATAATAATAATAATAATAATAATAATAATAATAATAATAATAATAATAATAATAATAATAATAATAATAATAATAATAATAATAATAATAATAATAATAATAATAATAATAATAATAATAATAATAATAATAATAATAATAATAATAATAATAATAATAATAATAATAATAATAATAATAATAATAATAATAATAATAATAATAATAATAATAATAATAATAATAATAATAATAATAATAATAATAATAATAATAATAATAATAATAATAATAATAATAATAATAATAATAATAATAATAATAATAATAATAATAATAATAATAATAATAATAATAATAATAATAATAATAATAATAATAATAATAAATAGTAAATAATAGTATGAGATTTTAGTATAATATGATATGAATACTATTTAATAGTTGTTGATTAGTTAGATATTATATATTTTAATTTAGTATAAGAGTAAAATGATAATTCAACTTTTCACTTTAGAGGTTCCCACTTTAGTAATATATGATGATATATGATATGATATGATATGGTATTAGAGTATTGAGTTTTCCATGAAAAAATGTCTCTTATGGTATGTTATGTCATATATGTGATATTGGTTGTGGTCCCTTCTAACTTCTAAGGTCCACTACTGCATTATTGATGAGTTGATGAGATTGCATTTGACTTCAACATTTCCTGTCTTATCCAATGTTTCTATATTTTTTCAAATATGTCATTTGCTGCATATCGAATTCTCCAAAAGTAATACATTTTTTGAGAATCCAACATAGGAGAGATAACATTTTGGAGAGTCCAAACAACATAGGTCTTATCTTTATGGTCGCTAAAATTGGCTTAAGTACTGATCACGCCGTATGATCTTAATTAGTTATGATGTGAGATATAAATCTAATGATAGAGAAATATGGGATGGTGAATTACACCAATGATGTGTGATAAATGAAGTTAAAGGAGAACTATGAGGTCTCGGGTTTAAATTCCATCGAAGGCAAAAACATTACGGGTTGTCTGGTTGATATACAAGTTATGCAAGGATACAACGACTAATTCTCTCTATCCTCTTGCAACTAACACATGTTTAATACCGATGAAAGTAAGTAATTCCTTTCCATCTGTCTAAACTTTGGTAGACAGAGTTACCGAAATCCCCTTTTATTGACCAGCATGACTCAGACCTTTTGAGCACTACCTTTAAGAATGAGTACTTAACAAAGACAGGATATATATAGTATGTGCTGAGAGGAGGATATATTGAGCTAAAATTTAGAGCCATTTCATTGTGAGGTTAAAAATAATTGGTGTCCTTCCAGAGATAAGTATTAGAAGTGTTGAAACTGTCTTCACACTGAATATGGCTTCAGAACCTTTAAATGATCTTCAGATTGTAGCTCTCACCCTTTCAATTGTGTTCCTAACAATTCTATGGTACAAATTGACCTCACACAAGGAAGAATCCAGGTTGCCACCAGGGCCTCGTGGCCTTCCGATTGTGGGATTCTTACCATTCCTCCACACCAATTTGCATCACCAGCTCACAGAGTTGTCTCAACAGTATGGTCCAATATACAAGTTTTGGCTAGGAGGAAAACTATGTGTTGTGTTGAATTCACCATCCTTAGCCAAAGAAGTTGTTCGCGATCAAGACTCCGTTTTTGCCAACCGTGACCCTCCAATTGCAGGATTAGTGGCCACATATGGTGGACTAGATATTGGATTTTCTCCCTATGGCTCCTACTGGCGTGATATGCGCAAACTGTTTGTAAGGGAGATGTTAAGCAACAGGAACCTTGAGGCCTGTTATAGCCTTCGGAGACACGAGGTCAGAAAGACAATCAGAAATGTGCATACCAAGATTGGCAGCCTCACTGATATTGGTGAATTAGCCTTTGTAACTGAAATAAATGTAATCATGAGTATGATCTTCGGCAGCAATTTTGTAGAGGAGATGGAGAAGCATAAAAAAGATGGAACTGAATTCAGGGAATTGGTGATAAAATATCTTCAACTACTGGGAAAGCCAAACATATCAGACTTCTTCCCTATGCTTGCAAGGTTTGATTTACAAGGAATACAGAAAGACGCGGAGGCTCTTTTGAAGTCGGTTGAAAGTATATTGGACCCTGCCATAAATGAACACTTGAAGATGCTTTCAGACAGAAGAGAAGGTGAAATCCAGCAGAATGAGAAGAAAGACTTTATACAGATCCTGTTAGAGCTAATGGAGCAGAAAGACATTGGTATATCACTGGACTTGGTGAAAATAAAGGCCATCTTGGTGGTAAGTTATATGGTTCCTTCATTTTTTCTATATCGTCGTCCTCTCGTTAACCTTGTTTATCCTGTGAATGCCATCATATTATTGTTGAAAATACAATTAAATAATAAAAGTATGTTCTCTTTAACAACTTAAGCTTTTAGATGAGATGATCACACACTTCAACAATTACTTTATCTGTCTGAAGATTTAACAGTGTCATACAAAATTTGTAAGACTAATTTAGCTAAGTATGTGATTCAAGCATCTTAATCAAGAACTCTAATCATTTATCTAACCACATATTGGTCACGGGTTCGAGCCATGGAAACAGTCAGGTTTCTAATCACACCCAAGGGTGCGGCTCTTCTCCGGACTCTGCTAATGTGGGATGTTTTGAGCACTAGATTGTAGAGAATAGCAGAAGAAAACTATAATCGGAAAACCTTCTACTAGCCCAAGATCGTTAACTAAGATCGGAAGATTCAACTAAGGAAGAGGAAGCTAGAAAGGAGAATTTGTTTATGGAAGAAGACTATTTTATTTAAGTTGTTCTTGGGTTGCCTTTTGGTTGTATACAAATGACAATGGTCACCCCTATTTATACTTGTGTAGGGATGGTTCTAGCTATTACAAGTTCTAGACTATTCTATCATTTACTACAAAAATATCTTCTCTAGAATATCTGCAAGAAAGTTCTAGCGAACTTATCTTCTAGCAATTTCTATAGAATATCTAGATATTTATTCAAGGCAACTTCTCTAGAATATCTAGATATTTCCTTAAGATAATTATTCTAGGTACTACACTAGACCATTATAGAAACTATACTAGAAAATTCAATGATATTCCAAAAATCCACTTTATCATTTTTCGCACAGATTGCCCTTTTTTTTAAAGTCCTAAAAAGATATACATACTCATACCTAAACATGAATGTTGTGCCCCCTACATGCCGCGGCCTCATACAGGCAGGGGCAGAGCCACAAGAAGTTATGAGTTCGCAGAATCCAGTAGCTTTGGCCCAAACTATGTAATTCTATTAAGAAATTCACTTAACATATTTAAATAATTTATTCGGAACCCAATAAATAAAAAAAGTTGTGGTTCAGAACCTATAAACTTAAAATACTGGATACGTGTCTGCCTACAGGTAGTTCCTTTCCCCTGTCTTTATATATGTTTCTTCATTGTAGGACATTATTATTGGTGGGACTGACTCTACAATTACAACGGTCGAGTGGGTAATGACAGAGCTTCTGAATAATCCGGAGAAGATGTCAAAGGTGCAGCAGGAATTGAAACATGTTGTAGGGATGAATAACGTTGTTGAAGAATCCCACTTACCAGAGCTGCACTATCTTGATGCAATTTTAAAGGAGACGTTACGTTTACACCCTGCATTACCACTACTTCTCCCAAAGCGCCCGAGCCAATCTGCAATAGTAGGTGGATACAAAATACCTGAGGGAACTAAAGTATTCTTGAATGTTTATGCAATTCATAGGGATCCTCAGGTGTGGGAAAGTCCACTAGAATTCCAGCCTGAAAGGTTCTTGAGTCGCTCGACAAATTTAGACTATGCTGGAAATAATATGAAGTACCTTCCATTTGGTTCAGGGAGGAGAATTTGTGCTGGCCTTCCTTTAGCAGAGAAAATGGTCATGTTTATGTTAGCTTCATTGTTACATTCCTTTAATTGGAAACTCCCTGAGGGCGAAAAGGTTGATCTTTCAGAGGGATTTGGACTTGTCATCAAGAAAAGTGAGAGGCCATTCGCTATCCCTACTCCCAGATTACCAAATTTCGATCTATATCAGTAAAACTTTACAAATGCTCTAACATGTGCCCAAATTTTACAAAGGAATTCATAAATTATAGTTAAGATCTTTATTCGTATGGCATTTGATATGCTTATATTATTGTATCGTAAAAACCTAGTGCATATGTTTTTCTCGAAATATATTTTAATTTTTATCGAACTTTACCAAAATGATAGTACATAATGGGATCGTCGTTTTTCTACAAATATTTTTGAACTTTTTTATTGCATTCATGAAAATTAGAGACTAAGGTACCCGAAATCCAAGTCTAGTGCGGCTATCGTTATTATTATTATTACATAGTAGAGAAAAGACATAAAGTCACCACTAAAGTTATCTCGAATTTTCAAAAAGATACCTTAACTTTGCGGGTGTCCTATTACCCCATTGAACAACTTCAAAATAGTATGTACACCCCATTTTTCACCCAATACCACTTATACAAAAATATTTGTAAGACACGCACTAATAGTCACTTGCCACGTGTTAAAAGTAATTTTTAATTATTTTTATTTGATTTCTTTGGATATAGATGAACAACACCCCCCCCCCCCTAAGAAACATATAGGAAGTTTTCTCCTTGTATGGCTCGAGAAAAATGATTGATTCGAAGTTTGTTTTCTTTTTCATTTATTCTTTTTCTCTTTCTTCTTCACCTCAATTTCTGTTCCGTCTTCTTTTTTTTTCTTTTTTTTTGTCTTCTTCTATTCCATTCCCTTCATCGTTTTCTTGGGAAATTTTATTTCATGTTATTTGTTGGTGTCTTGCAATGGACTTTTTTTTACCTTTGTGTCCCTTTAGCAGTCAACATTCACTTCTGCCTACTTATTACCACCAATTAATTTATTTATGAAAATAAATATCATCAAATAATCAAAATCTAAATACTCAAAATATCACCAAGTCAAAATTTGAAATTTAAATCACCACCTTCTCCAACTCCTTACTCCCAAATCGAGTTTTTCATAGTTTTACTATTTCCAAATTCCAATCTTGATTTGTAGGAGGAACTAATTTGTTTTTCAAAAAAAAAATAAAGAAGAAGAAGAATGAACACAATAACATTAGTTTTTAAAAAAACAATGACCAGAAAGAAGAAAAATGAAGGAAGACATGGACGCCCCAAGAAATATGAGTAAGCTAATGTGGTAGGGAAGATGAGAAAAAAGATTTGAAAAAATAAAAATATTCCTAATAAAGTAAAAAATATCAATAGATGGGTTTTTATGTTTTTCTTTTAAAAAAAGTCAAATTGGGGTGCCACATGGCAATTTTACGTTGGTCTGAAGCTGTATCAAGAGTTTCACGCGCTTATATTTTCGTGACAACATGAGTGGTGTTAAAATTAGTCAAAATGGTATATTTATTGTGGATTTAGATAGTTTCGTGGGGTAACAAGACACTTGCAAAGTTAAGGTGTCTTTTTGAAAATTCGAGTTAACTTCAATGGTGACTTTATGATTTTTCTCTTACATAGTAGGCACATATAATACAATTAATATATGATCAAGCAGAAGCAGCAGCTTTGCAAATTGGGAGGTCCTTTGGAGAATTAGGTGGAATATTGAGAATTGGGTTGCTCTCAAAGAAATTAACTGGCTTTATCTCAAAACTTGATGATACTGTTGGCATTATTGGGAAATCCTCTTGGCATGGAATATGATGGAACCCTAATGTATACCACACCACTATGTCTTTATTCTCAATTGCCCTGTCTCTGCAAAATACAAACAAACAAAAAAAGTACTATTAATTAAACGCTTACTATCTAGTCGAAACCTATAATTAATATTATTTCATAACTAAGTGTTATGTTCGACCATGACAACGACCTGGGTCATTCCTTGACCATCGATCACCTAGGGCTCACCATAGACAGGATATATGTTGGTGTTACTCGATAATAGTGTGATTATTTAATCTCATCATGTTACATTACCTGAAACGTCCTACTTTCCTTTTTAGTTTGTTCCTTTTTTTTTTGGCAAATCTTTGATTCTAACTCCACACATGTCATGTTTAAGACCACAAGAATTTTGGTACATTTTATCTGTCTTTAGTTTAAGATGACAAGATTCAAAAGTTTTTTTTACTTTTTTTAAACTCCGTATCAAGTCAAAACCAATCAAACAAATCGAAACAGAAGAAGTTACCTGTCAGACCAAACAGCAAGAGTGTCATCACCCTGACTTTGGTAAACAAACAAGCCAGCAGCCCATTGCTCAGATTCGTTATAAGGTGTGACCCAAATTTGGTTATTAGTAAAAGCAGCTCTCTTCTGAGGAGGATCATCATGGTCAAGTAAACTAGCAGCAGTTCCACCAGGAACCACTTTGTAACCAACAGGGTTCCCAACTCTTGATTTCTTATTAGAATTAATCACATGGAATTCTGAAGGATCATATAGTTTTGAGCTTAATTTGTGCATCTTTTTCAGTTTTAGCCACATTTCTAACAGCTTTTAAGTAGCTTCTTCGCGGTGATTCTCCAGGAGAAGTCATCTCCTTCTGGAGATTCACCTTCACGAAAGAATTGTTCGATGGACCATCGATGTCCATGTCGAGATGGAAAGTTACATAGTGATCATGGATGATTCCTATTATGTTTTCAGCTAAGAGAGTGCCATAGAGATACTCATTTTGGTTTACTTGATTCATGTTCACATATGGAGAGCCTTTCACCATCAATATTCCACTTAGTCCAACCTATTAACAACAAAACAAAATTGATAAAAGAATCTTTAGAAATAATATCAAAAGAATCTTAGACTATTTTATTCAAGGGTGCGGCCTAACAATAAATGAAGTCAGAATCATGAGGTATCATGTTCAATTCAGGTAGAAGTAAAAACATTATGTAATTTATTTTTATCTATTTAAGCTTTTGTTGATCAAAATTACTCGTTTTCTATGCTTATGGAAGGTAGAAATACTCCGTAAAAATTAATCAAAAGTGTGTGTAAACTGATGATTCTAGAATTCAACTTGGAATTGATATTGAGATGTGACTAATGACCAACCACCAACCCCACCCCACCCCCCTCCAAGGAGGAAAAAAAAAACTTGATGTGATTGGGTGATTATTGCTATTTGCTACCCAATAATATTCCATGGGCTGGTGCTTCCCAAGTCTTTGTGGGATTTGACTTTATACTATATTTGAAAATTTATTTCTGGTTTAATATAATTTGCAGATAAATAAAAATAACATATCTAAATAATATCCGTATCGTTTCCATTTTCCTGCATTAATTCTAAAATAAGACATATCAGGTCATTTGGTAGAATGTGCTAATTAATATATGTATTAGTTATAGTATTATTTAATCCTTTGTTTGATAGGATATTTAGTCATGATATTATATGGTGTATAACTAATACATACCAAATCATGATATTAGCAATACATGAGTTATTAACACCTATATAAGCCTGGGTAAAGATAAAATATACTTTAATATAATAAACCAAATAGTGAATAGGGAATAGTCTCAGTATAACTAATCTCAGCGCATAAAGCATTACACTCTCTATTGGATCTAAATTTATTTTTGAAAAATAAAAGAATGAGATTTATTTATGTTGAACTTTGCAAATATATATGAATGGAAATATTTGTGTTAATATTTTGAAATTGAAAAAATAAATGCTCGATTGTACCGGCTGTCAGATCAAATAAATATAAAAATAAATGCTTCCACCAGTAGATAAAAATTTGATTACTAATAGCCAAAAATAAAATAATGTTACAAATTACTTCATCCCTATATATTAAAAATAGATATTCTATTCTACTTATTCAATTTAGAAAATCAATACAAGTTTATCATTTTCTTCTCATATTATATACCCTTGTCATTAAATGATTATATCCAGTATTAGTAGTTAAATTTTTATTTCCAAAGTATAATTAATAAAGCTAATTTAATAAAATATTTTTTTAATAAATACTTTCTTAATGATAATATCAAATCAAAATGAGTCCGGTAAAATAAAACGGAGGAATTAGTCATTATACTCCTAAAAAACAGATAAGACATGAATAATTTAGTTGGATATATATATATCTAGCATGTAATTAATATTATTCGATAATCTTCTCTGTCGTATCAAAAATTATAAACGGCACATATAAAAGATCAAGAACTAGCAAGTATGCATGTTAGAATTATGCGAGTGCGAATTTAGAAACCAGGCTAGTAAAATTTGAACATGTGTCTTCCTCTCCAAATGACATTCAATTATTTTTAATCAATCTTAAAAAATGATATTTTTTATATTAAGTAAATAAATTAATATTTTAACTTATAGTCCTAAAAAATATCTATTAATTGTTTCTGACCAAATATATACAAAAAAATATAATTTAAAAATATCAAATACGTTCACATAAATTGAAACTAATGATCAAACACATATGTTGTGCTAACCTTAGGTCGAATAAGTCCATCGTTCTGAAACTCCCAATCAACAATATAATCATAGTTTCCTACTGATGCTGCCATTCTCACCACTAACGTCACCTTTGGCCTTACTTCTCGTATCTGTTCCAAAGTTGCATGCAAAACCAACAAAATCAATACTATCAAACAATATTTTTTTCAGAAACAAATGTCATACAACACTTGTTCTGTGCTGACACATTAACAAATTTACTTTTCTTGGTTTTTGTGTCCAAAAACCCCGATTAAAATTCGGATCGTGCAGTACATGGAAACAGTCTCAGCACTGTACCACTACCATATCGACAAATTTAAGTAGTACACAAACATTTTTGAATCGTTTACTTTTTCATAGTGAATAAAGTTGAGTGTATTTACTATTTGAAAAAAAGAGTGAAATTATTTACCGGGAAACCAGTAATTGGACATTCAGCATGTCGCCATCCAATATCACCAGCATATCTTTCAAAGACACAAATCATGTTGGAGCGCACATATGGTGTTCCATCAGCTGCCACAAAAACACCATCCATATAATACGCATTACGAGGACAATCATTTAACGGGTCAAGTGGCATCGCTTGCAACCCGAACCCGTATTCACCTGCATCTATATACGTCTTAAAATACCATGCATCTGATGGATCCATGTAAGGTACAAATAACTCCGACGTAAACCCTTTATACATAACATTCCTCATCTTCCCCGTATCCGGATCCTGAACCATGGCCTGGGATATAATAACCCCGGCTCTCGGGTCCGGCTTGACGTGAAATTCCCAATTTGCCCATTTAACTAGATGATTGTTCTCTATAGTGAAACTTGGACCATCTGGTTGTTCGATTGATATTGGTTTGAGTAAGTTTATTTTTTGTGTGTTTT